TCTACTTATCAATACGAATCGAATGTTCTTTGAGTTATTCAAATCGCTTCATCTGTGTTCCCGAAATCGTCGACGAAAATTTGTATCCGAACACACATACACACACGCACACACACACATACACACTCACACATACATCCATTGTTTCTAAGGTATGCCAAAATATTCAGAAACCTCTGAAACGCAAAGATATATAAAAATTTTATTTTCGATTTTTTTGCGATTACTATAACTTACCCTACGGGAAGTTAAAAATAGGTTGGGAAGTGATACATGAACCGTTTAGATATAATTAGATCAAACCTTCATCTACCGAAATAACTTCATCCAGAAAATGGAAGGCTAAAGAAGTAGACTGGGTAAAATAGATAACCAAAGAAATAAAAATATTAATTGATGAATATCAAAAATATCAATCTCCTGATCAGGGATATAAAATTTTTATCTACACAATTAATACCGCCAACGGAATATACGTCGGGAAATACAAACAGTTTTACAAGAACAATTTTACTCCAGCAATTTAGTGGGATGAAGAATGACAAAAGGCATTTTTAAGTAGAAAGACAGCCTTTAAGAAGTACAAGGAAAATTCAAATTTTATAAATTATCAGGAGTATAACAAAATAAAAAACCTTTTCAAAATAAAGAAAATAGATGGCTAGATTAACTTCACGAATTCGATAAATAAAGACACTGATACAAGCGAAATGTGGAAAACAGTAAAAAAATTAGACAAACAATACAGTGGGAAAAAAACAAAAATTCCAGAAAATACCATAGAGAAACTAATCTATTTATCTGCTGTACAAGGTAATAATATTCCAAATAATAGTTTGCAAAATAATTGTAAAGAAAACACAATAAACGATTTTGAAAAAAATTTCTTTGACAAAATAAAAAAGGCCATCAAACATAGCGCCAATGCTTCATTTGGTGTTGACAACATTCATTACATTATGCTAATCCACTTGCCAGCTAATGCCAAAACATACCTTACTAATCTTTTCAATGATTTTGTGATAAAGAACTTTCTACCACCGGATTAGAAATCGCAAATTATTGTGCCAATATTAAAGCCAAACAAAAACGCATTAGGCGCGAACTCATACATGCCTATTGCTTTAACATCATGTATATGTAAAACTCTTGAAAGAGTGATAAAAAACAGATTGGAGTGATTGTTAGAAAACGAATCACTATTAGGAAGAACACAATATGGATTTAGAAAATGTAAAGGAACCTTGGACTATCTAGCAAAATTGAGTAACAATATTCATATTTTTAATTTTTACAACAAATATCTACTTCTATTTACTACTGACATTAATAAAGCATATAAATCAATAAATACTCTATGAAAAATTATTACAATTATAATATAAAACTAGTGGGGCGCATGGCATCGTGCCTTAAGGCAAATTGCTGGAACTTTCCGTACCAATTTTTTTTTTATTTAAATTAACATTTTTGAAAAACATTTACATTTAAAAATTAGATTTTTGAGAAACTATAAATTTTTGACATAAATTTACTTTTTTGAAAAAAAGACTTTTTGAAGAAAAGTGTATTTTGTAATATTTTGGAAATTCTGAACTTTTTTTTCAAAGCAATCATACTGCTTTAATTCCATAGAGATGAAATATCAATGCACGTAAGCGCCGCGCCGCCGTCTAATGGATAGCATTGGTACGGAACCCATAGGAATGTAAACAAAATGTATACTTATTGTTAAAATCTCTATAAAATATCTGATAATTTGATGTGCATATATCTAATGATTATTTTTGACCGCCAGATGGATTTTTTTTAACTTTTTTTACTAGATCTCCGAAACTGCTAGACCTGCCTTCATAAAAATTTGATCAGTTCTTCATCTTGTTCATACAAGTAAAATGTTTTTTGAATTATTAAAATCGGACGCACCGTTCTCTTAAAAAATGAATTACCGTTTTTGGCACTTTTGCCCCGTATCTTTGAAACGGCTAGACCTGCCACCGCCAAAAACTAATCAACACGTCTCCTTGTCGATACGAATCGAATGTTTTTTTGAATTATTCAAATCGCTTCATCCGTGTTCCCAAAATCGTCGACGAAAATTTGTATCCAAACACACATACACACACGCACACACACACACATACATCCATTTTTCTAAAGTATGCCAAATATACAGAAACCTCTGAAACGTAAAGATATATAAACATTTTCATTTTCGATTTTTTGCGATTACTATAACTTACCCTACGGGAAGTTAATAAATTGTCTAAATGCAATATGCTAATAGCTAGGCTTATAATCTTTATTGATTCTGTAAGAGCTAATTTAGAAATAACTACGTCAATGCAGAGATGTAAAGCCAATTAAAGCAAATAGTAGCTGTAATTGGAATTCTGTCTTAAGGCAATTAAGGCATTGTGCCTTAAGGCAAATTGCTGGAACTTCCCGTACCAAAAATTATTATTTTTTTAAAAACAATTAACATTTTTGAAAAAATTTTACTTCGAAAAAATTAGATTTTTGAGAAACTATAAATTTGACAAAAAATTACTTTTAAAATTTTTTTTTTTTTTTGTAAACAATTTTTTTTTTGAAAAGAAAAATGTTTTCTTTATTTTGACGTATTTTGGAAATTCTGAAGGTTTTTTTCAAAGCAATCGTACTGCTTTCACTGCATAAAGACGAAATATCAAAGCGCGTAAGCGCCGCAGCGCCGTCTAACGCGTAAACATTGGTACGGAACCCATGAGAATGTAAACAAAATTTATACTTATTGTTAAAATCTTTATAAAATATCTGATAAGTTGATGTGCATATGTCTAATGATCATTTTTGACCGCCAAATGGCTCATTTTTTTACTTTTTTCTCCATATCTCCAAAGTCGTTGGACCTGATAAGATTTAGTCAATACAAATAAAATGTGTTTTGAATTATTCAAATCGGACGCTCCGTTCTCTTAAAAACTGAGTTACCGTTTTCGGAACTTTTTGCCCCGTATATTCGGAACGGCTAGACCTTCCTTTGCCAAAAACTAGTCAGCATGTCTCCTTATCAATACGAATCGAATGTTTTTTAAATTATTCAAATCGGTTGATTCGTGTTCCCGAAATCGTCGACGAAAATTTGTATCCGCACATACATACACACACATACACACACACATACATCCATTTTTTCTAAGGTATGCCAAAATGTTCAAAATCCTTTGAAACGTAAAGATATATAAAAATTTTCATTTTCGATTTTTTTTGCGATTACTATAACTTGCCCTACGGGAAGTTAATAGTATAATTTTAAATTTGATAACAAATCGACAGATATTTATAAAGACAAACAACAAATTATACGGTCCAAAAAAACAAATAAAGGAGTAGCACAGGGATCATTGCTATCACCGTTACTTTTTAATATATACATGGCTCAGGTAGAAAAAATATTTACAGTTGACACACATATACTACTGTATGCAGATTATATAAGCATATATACATCCCAAAATAGTATTGACGAATGTATATCTAAACTCACAATGGAAAAGTTTAAATTCCAGCAATAAACATTAAATAATCATTTAACATTATCACAAGTTAAAACAGCCAGTAAAATTTTCGGGAGACACAGAATTCCAGAAGAATTGACACCAATTAAAGTCAATGACAAGTTATTGCCGAGAAAAAGGAGCATTAAATTGCTTGGACTACATCTGGATGAAAAACTTATGTTCAGAGAACATATAACATACACAATAAAGAGATGCAAACATGGAATTAATCTACTTAGACTATTAACTGAAACTTGATGGGGAGGAGATCCCCAAATATGTATAAATATTTACAAATCTATAATTAGACCCGTAATAGACTATGACAGCTTTATATATGGTCGAGGAGAAAAATCATTAAGGGAAAAACTAGACATAATACAATACGCAGTCCTAAAAGTATGCATTGGAGCAATGCGTTCGACGCTCTTCTGGTGGATACTGATGAACCACTTTTAAGTATCTGCAGAACAATGTTAGAAAATAATTATCTTTTAACAAAATTACATAATGATAACAAAAATATTCCTGCACAAATGGAGCTGTTACATAAACTAGTTTCTACAAAAATATATTGGCACAAGAAAAAAAAAACATTCGAGCTCGAGCAACCGAACTGAATGGATCGAAGCGACTAGTAATTACAATAAAAGAGTTACATAAGTATTTTTCTTTTTTTTTTTTAAATTCTTTAACAGCGATCAGAACTTATGAGTTCTATGAGCTGTTGTGATCAATTATCTTACAATTATTATAGATGGCAACCCAAAAAGTTGTCCCATCTCTATGTGCTGAATTATTACAATTGCTGTAATAGTGATGACTTTTTACTTCCAAGTGGCATGTTGCCACTACAGCTATACCCACGAAAGGCCATTTTCACTTGAAATCATATTTGAAATCTATGATTTCAAGTAAAAATTTGGTATCAAGCTGCTTTGATACCGAACCGACCGAGGTTGGATTCGAACCCGGGACTAGGATTTGCTAGCCCACCTTCTTACCACGGGACCACGGTCGGCCCTACATAAGTAATGTTTTATAATGGAGTATAAACCGTTTGAACCCGGCGGGGCATCAATACCTGCAGATATAGATAAGGAATACAATAGCACGGAGGTCGAAACAGGCATCCAAATAGGCAAATCGATTCATGTTATCAATAATGATGAGGTAATGGAGAGTGATTTTTCGGAAGAAAGTGACAGTGAATTTTTAGATACAACAGTTTTACCGAGCAATGTGAAAAATAACTCGCGGAGTGATAATAATACATCGATAAATCAAGTGAATTTAAATAATACGAATGGTGATGACAATAAAGTTATGTTGCGAAAAAACAATAAAAGAAGCAAGAATAAAACTAGTTTAAAAACGGTTTATATACCCGAAGAATTAATCAGAAAATTGATAAAATTGGATTTTAAAAAAGACAAAGTAACAACATTAAATAAAAATATGGAGGATAACCCAGGTTGCAGCAGCACTGGGAAAAGTAAAAGTTGGATAGAAATGATGGATGAAGAAAGTAATATGACAAATGAAGATAACACTAGAAATAATAAAATAAACGAAGAAATTAATTATTATGAACCATATGATGAAGGATCGTACACGGTTTTTGCAGAATCAACTAACGAAAGCATTGGCAGATTTCACAATCTAGCTTTAGGCAGATTGATATTCAAACAATCGCTTAACATAAGAAAAAATATCATAGATATCTCAAAGATCGGGAGAAACAAAATCAAATTAGTATTTAAAGACTACTTTTATGCTAATAAATTAATCAAAGAGAAAATTTTGGAAAAATTTAACATAAGAACATACATCCCAAGACATAAATTATACAAAACCGGCATTATTTTTAACGTTGAACCCGACATGAATGAGCAAGAAATCATGGATGTTATTAGATCGGTAATCAAAATATTAGATGTCAAATGCATTAAAAGAAGAAACTTAGAAAAAATAAATATGAAATCACAAATGGTAAAAATAGTGTTTAGGGGTAACTATCTGCCAGAATACGTCTCAATGTATTCGGTTAGGTGTGCTGTCAGTCCTTACATTCAATCTGTAATGCAATGCCACAAATGCTGGCGTTATGGACATATAAAAAATCAATGCAAAAGCAAGATAAGATGCCGGTATTGTTCAGAAGAACACTCTCATGAAAATTGCCACATCGTGTCAGACTTTATATGTGCAGTATGCCATGGAAACCATCAAGCAAATGACAAAGAATGTAAATTCTTCAAAGTAAATAAAGAAATAAAAGAAATGATGGCACTACATAACATATCTTATCTTGAAGCTAAAAACAGGATGTGGAAAAAAGGATATGCTGAGGCTGCTAAGATCAACCCGTACAATCCGGGGTTTAATTCATCGTTTCCGAGACTAAATGGCAATACCGAAATGGATTCACACAGGCATAAAAATAAATATGAATTATTGAATAGTTTTGATGAACAAGAAATTAACATTGTTAAAGACAGATTAATGTTAATGAATAAACCAAGAAATATTATGTATAAACGTCGAACAGAATACTTGAGGCCGATCAATCGATTTAACAGAGATCAGATAACTGAAAAACCTGAAAAAAAAAACCAAGAAGAACCAAGCCTAAACAGTAATAAGACCAATAAAAAGGAAGAAAATAAACGACAATTAAATCATTTCATAGAATTGGCATTGAAACTTCGAGAAAAAATAGAATGTGAGAGAAATAAAGAATGTAAAGAGATAGATGAAATTATATATAAGTTAAAATGGGATACACATACCATTATGAATTACTTAAACCAGAATAATAAAACAGGTATAGATAATCGTAATAAAGATGAAATACACAATAAAATAAGTGTGGTCAATTCTAACGAAAGTTAGAAGATAGTGCAAAAATAATTATAACAAATACCAACCAAAGATGGATAATATAAATATTTTACAATTAAATTGTAGATCTTTAAGAGCAAATAAGGAAAGCATCGAAAATCTTATGTTTCATAAGAAAATTCATATGGCAGCTTTTACTGAAACATGACTGAAACAGGGCCAATTAGTTAAATTCAAAGGGTATAACATATTTCGACAGCACAGACAGGACGGCTACGGTGGTTCGGCCATATTGGTCAAAAATAACATTCCGTGCGAAAAATTCGCACATTCACTAAGTAACCGAGACATGCAAATGACCGCGGTAATAATTAAATCGGCTACTCCGTTCTGTTTAGTTTCAATTTATTGCGCACCACAGGCAACAAAAGATCTATATTTAATCAAAAATATCATCAAACAGATTCCTGTCAGAATAATTGTAACAGGAGATTTCCATAGCAAACATTTAGCTTGGGGTAATGAAATAATTGACAGAGGAGGAGCTATTATTTACGATATTGTGGATAGCCTTAATCTGTTAATGCTGAATGACGGAACGCATACGACAACACAAACGCCTAGGAAGAAATCAGCTGCCATCGACCTGACTTTCTGTTCGCCTTCTCTTCATGATAGACTTGAATTTCGCATTCATTATCCCACCATAAAGCCGGTTTAAATGTATCCGATCTTGGTAATTTATACTGTTTGATGTGCTTAGTGGCTGCATTATTTATTGTTTCTTGAATAAAATTATACATATCTTCAGAATCATTTGGAATGTATGATGTCTCTAAAGTCTCTTCGATATCTAATCTATACTCATTCCAATTTGCCTCCTTAGTCATCCATTTTCTGCCTGGATACCATCCCACTCTCGTATTACATTTGAATTGCATCTTTATTAAGATAGGCAAATGGTCAGAGCCTACATTATCTGGTATTACGCTCCAATGAAGTTTAATAAAGTCTTAATAAAGATGCAATTCAAATGTAATACGAGAGTGGGACTCAACTACAAAAATTACCTGGAGCTCCAAAAAATCACAGCATAGACTAGAAAACTATTTAAAACAAAAAAAAGAGAAAAATGGCTTGAATTCGTGAATTCCATCAATAGAAATACAAACATTAATAAATTATGGAACATTGTAAAAAGATTAAATAATACAAATAATGGCGAGTCCCCAATTCAGCAAATGAGTGACAATTTCTGTGAGAAAATTTTGAAGATCCACACGCCTGACTTTGTACCTGGTCCCGTACAATACTCCCAAGACCAAGCAGAAGAAGCAAGTGATGACTACGCAATTCATGAAATTGAAGGACGCATTGATTATGAGGAGCTAGAACTGGCACTAAAAGACAAAAGAAACAGCTCTCCAGGATTTGATAACATCACATACATTATGATTAAAGAATGTCCCAAAGCATTCAAATGTATAATAGTTGAAATGTTCAATTTTATATTAAATTCAGGTTGGATCCCGGAAGATTGGAAAATTGCGGTGCTAGTGCCAATACTAAAACCGCAAAAAAATCCAAGTGATCATAAGTTCTATCGACCAATAATGCTTCTTCCTTGTCTCACGAAAATCTTTGAAAGCATTTTAAAAAAAAGATTAGAATGGTACATAGAGAAAAAGGGTATATTAAATAAATATCAATTCGGATTTAGGGAGGAAAAGGTACAATCGACTTGTTAAGCGAGCTACTTGTAGATCTATATAGTGCATTGTCAGATAAAAAAGAAGTGCTACTAGTTACGGCAGATATTGAAAAGGCATATGATCATGTTGATCATAATATTCTCAAAAAGAAGCTACATAATTACATGATCCCAGACAATATTAATATTATTATAATGTCACTGCTATCCAATAGAAAAATTTACGTGAGAAATAAGAATCGTCTAATAGGGCCAAGGACATCATATACGGGCATCCCACAAGGGTCGATTCTGAGCCCTCTCCTATTTAACATCTATATGGCAGACTTTATATCGTCAGAAGGGACAAGAGTCAAAAAGCTACAATATGCGGACGATCTGATTATGTACACAGTTTCTCACTCAGTAGAGCATTGCAGAGCAGAAATGGCTAATGCCATATCAAAAGATTTGGAATGGATGCGGAATAATAGACTTGCTTTGGAACCGAGGAAGACCAAAAGCATAATTTTTACCAGGCATAGATTTCCCAAAAATATGCATGTAATAGATATTGACACGATAAGTATCGAAATATTAGAAAACATTAAAATCCTGGGTGTGACTTTTGATAAAAAATTGAATTTCAACAAGCACATAAGCGAGATATTATTCAAATGAGAGAAAGGGATTAATTTACTCAAAAGAGTATGTAACACCAGCTGGGGTACACACCCAAATGCATGTCTTTCTTTATACAAAGCTATCATTAGACCCCATTTCGACTATGGCTGTCAAATTTACGGAGGATTGTCCGCAGGCTTACATCAAAAGTTGAGTAGAGCGCAATTTGCAGCTTTAAGAACATGTCTGGGATCTTTAAAATCAACCCCCACTAACTCTTTATTAGCTGAAACCGGGGAAACTCCCTTAGATATAAGAAAACAAGTACTAACGAATAGATTCTTGATCAAAAAATTCAATTTTGATCATTCATGGATTCAAGATCAGTTAGAGGCATTGGCAGTTCGGCATTTCAATAATAGGTACTGGTTTAATAAACCGATCCCACCGCTAGTTGCTGGTTTCCATTCATTAAAGTCTTTAGAAGATAACATCATAATAAGCAACAGATTGGCGTACTACACAGTGACTTGGAAAGCAACGATTTCCAAAAAATATATACACCTATCAGACGAATTAATCATTGGAAAGATGGATAAGAAAATAATCAATCTGGAATTGCACGCCTTATTGAACACTAGATAGGAAAAGTATATACAAATCTATACGGACGGCTCAAAAACTGATGACGGCGTTGGCTGTGCTGTATACATACCAAGCCAGGATATACAGCTTCAAATTAAACTCCCAGATTGGGCATCAATATTTACTGCAGAATTGACGGTTATCAACAATGCGCTAGACCTAATTAAGGAACATAAATTAAAGAAGGCAATAATTCTTTCTGATAGCATGTCCTCACTGCATGCCTTAAATATGCCTAAAGATTATGGCAATCCATTAATATTCGACTGTTGACAAAAAATAGAAAAGCTAAACAACAATAACTACAAGATCGAATTAGTATGGATAAGAGGCCATTACAATATCACCGGGAATGAGATCGCGGATAGCCTGGCCAAAGAGGCACAAAAATCAGCTACTTTAATTAAAAAAGCTCCTGCCGTGGATCTGAAACAAAAGATCACAAAAATGGGGATGTTGAATTGGCAAAAAATATTTGATCTCGAATCAGCGTCAAAAGGAATATTATTCCAACCGTGTAAACCGATAGTGTCCAGAAATACATGGTTAGAAAAATTGAAATGGAATAGAAGAGAGATATCTACAATATGCAGATTAAAATTGGCGCACACAAAGAACAATGTTCATCTATTTAAGATTGGGATCAAACAACACCCGTTCTGTTCGTGCAGCACTGTACTGGACACAATAGATCACATATTGTGGAGTTGCCCATTGTATGAAAGGCAACAAATAATTCTGTTTAAAAAGCTTCAACAGCGGAATGTGACATTTCCTATAAATGCTAGGTTCATCATTAGTAGTAATAACATTGATTTGTACAGAATACTGATAGACTTTGTAAATGAATCCAATATAAGGCTATAGAGTAGGATGTTTTTAGGTTTATTTATTGTAACTATTCTTCATTGGTAGTGTGATTTTTAATTTTAATTTTTTACTTAGTTTATAATTATATTTGTATTATAATTTGTAATGGCTGGATGACTAAGGAGTCGAGGCCAGTTAATAAAAAATAAATAAAAAAAAGTAGTAGATTGCCTAATAAATATCGAAAAATATCAAAACAATATAATTAAAAATTCTACATTGCTAATGTTTAAATTGCCACAAAAATTATTATATAAAAAATAAACACATACATAGAAAAAAATTTGGTAAACACTAACATTACGAATGTAACTTTACGTAACAGAATATTCAACTATAAGGTAAGGTTAACATGGCCTGTAGCAAAATTTATATACACAGATGGAGCCAAAATAGGGAACTTAGTAGGATGTGCAGCGTTTGAACCGACAAACATTATAGTCAAGTACATTAAATTGCCAGAATTAACTTCTATCTTCACTGCTGAACTCATGGGTATAAAAAGCGCAATTAAAATTATTAAAAAAAATCAAATGGAAAACTGTACCATTCTAACTGACGCTCGGAGTGCAATCAAGGCGCTAAGAATAATAGACAACAAAACAAATAACATTATTTTTGCTCTACTCGAGGCTATAGTAAAATTTGAAAACAAAAAATATAAAATAAATATTGTGTGGTTGATGACACATGCAGTTCCTAAGCACAACGAAACTGTAGACAAATTTGCAAAACAGGCTTTACAATTCGGAGAGAAAGGACACAAAATTCCAACTTCAGAACCAACCAACTTCATCTAAAACACAAACTTAAGCAAATCGCCCTACATCAATGGCAACTCTGCTATACAAAATGTCTAGAAAAAAAAGACACAATTATGGATCAATAAACCCTAGAGTAGCTACGCACCTTTGGTTTAAAAAAATAAAACAAAATAGAAAATACATTACAAATATCTGTAGGATCCGACTAGGCCACGGGAGGTTCGGAAAACACCCAAACAAAATTAATATTATCAATTACCCGACATGCATATGTGGAAATGAAGAAGAATCTCTTAACCACATCTTTTTTGAATGACCTTGATACCAGCATAAGAAAAGAAAGATTTTACGAGAAGATTCAAAAAGAGAAAATCGAGTTTCCGACTAGCATACACCAATTACTTATAGGTAGTTCGAAGAATATATATAGTATTATTAACGAATTTGTTAATGAGAAT